TAATTTATTTTTTTTTTATTTTTTCATGTTTAAATATGACTCAATCAATAACATCAGCATTATTGTACTTATAATTACTAAAAATTTTTGAGGTATATCGGCAAAGATGCAAGAGTACCTTTATCACTGTGCAATGTACCGTCCCTGAACGCGCGAACTTTAGACTACCTGATTTGTCTATTATAAATGCTTCCCATTTGAAAAGTATTATAGCCTCGACATTTTCGTATTAGGATTTTCGTCTTACTTTTTGCTCAGAAATACGCTATTAAAATTTCGGTCACGAGTTGCGGTACACCCTGTATATGTATGTGTATACTTATAAGTGCAAAGAACTAAACGTTGTGCTAAGAAACTAATACTATAGCACAAATATACGCATATAGTATACATATACTTTTATACTTATCACATACTTTTCATCTATCATATTCTTCAGAATACTTTTATCTATCACAGTTTTTATAACTTTTCAAAAATAACTAAGCTATATATAATTTAATAATTCTTCAAAAAGAAAAGCTTAATATAAAGGTTTATAGTTATCATTTTTTTTCATTTATACATATAAATAAAAAGAAACAAAACACTTTACAACGTCTTAAAAAACCAAAACTTATTAGTGAAGTTATATATCTTTGAAAATAATGTTATACAATAAATTGTATATAACTTCAAAACAAAAATTATACTTTCATAATTAAAAAAGAAAATAGAACTTATTATTAAGAAACGGTTAATAGTTGTCAATGAACATATCGATGTCACTTGCCAATGTATTTTCATCTTCTGTGTAACTTGTATGTTCATCGTGCTCTTGTAATTCATTATCTGAAAAAATATTATCAAATATTTTCAATTACATATAATAAATATTATCAATTACATATTTCTGATCTTGTATTATTTTATAAGCTTCTATTTGCTACTTACCATAATTAAATTGCTTATGTTTCGTATTTTCTTGATTTTTATCCAATACCATTTGTATTCTTTTAACCAAGGGCCGTGGATTTCCAACGTTTTCTTCGAGGTTTTCTTCAACATTTTCATTCTCTTGACTTTTATTCGACACTATTTGTTTTCTTTTAATAAAAGGCCGTGGATTTCCTTCAATATTTTCATTTTCTTCATCTATTTGATCAAGAGATCGTTTTTGTTGGCGGCGAAAACGTTCTTTTGTGCTTTTCAAAGCCTTAATCATTGCATCCTCAAATTCATCGCGTTTTGGCTTCGAGAAGTATACATTATTATTCATGGCCTCTAAAAACATTTTTATTTTATTTCCTTGTAAAGTTTTAGTTAGCACCAAATGTTTTATTTTATTTAATAATTTATTTACCTTCACAAGCCTGTGAAAAACGAGTTTTTTTTAAAGCTTTCAAGTGTTTTGTTCCATGCCAAGTCATATGTAATGAAATTTTTTCTACATTATCAAACGCATGCTTAAAATAAATGGCAGCACAATCAATGGGGTTTAACCCACCCAAATAAGTAAAATAATCAACCTAAAATTAAAAAATTAATTGTATACTTTGTGTGTAAAATCTTATCTAAATGAAAATAATAATGTGCATGAATGCTGAAGCCATAAAACAATGATTAAAAATAAAAGCCATAAAACAGTGGTTAAGTCATAAAGCAGTGATTTGAAATTCAACGGTTAAAAATCGAAACCATAAAACAGTTATAATTAAATAAGACAGTGATTACAAAATGTTCAATGATTAAAAATATAAGCTATAAAATAATGATCGAAAATTTTATAAATTTCTTCCTCTAAAGTAACTTACACATATAAGAATATAATAAAATATAGAAAATATTTTAAAATATAAAAATTAATGTTTGACTACGATTAGAATAAATTTTTTCTTAAATTAAAAATGTATGAATCATAATAGAACCCAAAAACATTTTTCAAAAAATAAGTATACAATACTGCCTTATTTACAAAATTTTTTGAGCGTCATGCGCAAAGCCCCATATACCACAAATTGAATAGTGCAATTGATCAAATAATATCTTACGATACCGATTGATCGGCACATCCAAATATCTCAGAAACCTAATAGTGAAAATTTTTATTTTAGAAAATTTTCTTGAGCAACAAAATTTTTTGAGAAAAATATAAAGTATAAAAATTAATTGTTACTAGCCAGCTAATGTAGCATTTAAAAACCGATTTATAATCTTAATATAAACCGGTTAAGATTAATAAAATGAAACTAATTAATTTAGATACTTACAACTTCGGTATACAATTCATCATTGACGTTATCGAATTGTACAAACTTGTCAATGGTTATAAAAGGAATACATTCAGGCATACTTTGTACTCTTCTATTTCTGGATTTCGTTAACTGTATCAACGTACTGAAAATATAACAATAATAATCATAAAATGTTAAAATATTTATATTGAAAAACATTAAACTTTTATTGTGTAAGAAAAGTACTTTTGTTTCTGTTCTATCGTATCCAGGCGCTGATTTAGTTTTCTGCAAAAAATAAAAAATAAAGTTAAAAGTAAATATTAAACTTAAATTTTAAAACTGTTATACATATAACGTATATTACATTTGTCTTATTTTTATATTTGATGTTACTTACTGAAATGATTCTTGATAAATATTGATGATATTCCGTAATATTGGAGCATCCGAAGAACATTCATGGGGAATTAATTTGTTTTGTGTCCGCGCATGCTTTACTTGATCTGTATTCTTCAGTGTTGAGTTTTCAGTGACAAGTTGCTTTTTTGGGATATACTTTGTCAATACAGAAGGGCTTCTGTTAGGTGAAGTTATCGGATTGTTTATTTTGCTGACGTACTAAAACATAATGAATTTAATCAAGCACGAATATTAGTAGAACTTATTAAAATTTTTTTTTACCTGTGGTGGCTGCTTTTCCGATATATTTGTCTGAATTTTTTCGAGCATTTTAAATTTCGGCTGAGAGATATTTTTTATATTATTTTTATTTTCAGGTTTATATTGCAACGGTCTCGAAACATAGCGTTGATAATTTTTTTCATCTTGTGTTTGTTTTGGTAATTTGTTACGATTAGTTTTATCTTGCGTTTGTTTTAATAATTTATTACGATTAGTCAAATTATTCTTATTTTCAAGCCTTTTCGTGGAAGACATTGATGACGAGTGAGATAACAGTGGCGGTGACAATGTAACGTCAGTTTTTGTATTTTGTAATCCAAACATATAACTTGCATTTTCCAAATCATCAGTTACATTTTTCATAGAAGATATTGATGACGAGTGAGATGACAGTTGTGGTGACAATGTAACGTCAATTTTCGTATTTTGCAATTCAAACATGTAATTTGCATTTTCTAAATCGTCAGTTAAATTTTTCATACTTTGTTTTTTTCTATTGTTCCTTTTAGACGACAGTTTTTCTTATTCATTTTGCTTCCTCATAGAGGAAGCTTTTTCATGCGAAAAATTTTTTTCCAGTTTTCAATGCCAATGGGTTTAGAATGTTTTAAAAACTCAAAAAACACAATTTTC